ATAAGTTTATTTTGTGTTCAGGTATTGATGTTATAAATGTAATTCAATTCCAACTGTTCTTTAACTATTGTGGTTTCCCATAGCTTGGATGGACTTTCAAAAGATTCTCCTTCATTTTATAAGTTTATACATGATTCCAGGAAAGAAATTATATTCATTCAAAATGTTTAAGGGTAGCTCTGTCAGGGTAGAATGTGTACTATGAATGTGTATTTATGTAAAGTAGCAATATTACCATAAGGTTATGAAAAAAAAGTCTTGCACCTAGACTGGAAAAATCAAATGCACAGGTATAGAATAGATGGTACTTGCCCAGCCCAACAATAGTAACTGTGAAGAATCTAGATGTCCTAGTGGATAACCATTTAAGTATGACCCAGCATTAAGAGTCTTATAGTATTAATGTATTTTTAGCGTAGTAATAGAATAACAAGGGACCTTGGGGGTCTCCTAGTGCAAACCCCTGCTCAAGCAGGAGACCCTATATGATTTCAGATAAGTGGCTGTCCAGTCTCTTTTTAAAAGCCTCCAGTGATGGAGCGCTCACAACTTCTTAAGGCAAGCCGTTCCACTGTTAATTGTTCTCACTGTTGAGAAATTTCTCCTTAGATCTAGGTTGCTTCTCTCCTTGATTAGTTTCCAAACAAGCTGTTTCTTGTCCTGCCTTCTAGTGCTTTGGAAAATAGGTTGATTGCCTCTTCCTTGTGGCTGCCCCTCAAATATTGGAACACTGCTATTAGTCATTCTTTTTACTAGACTGTTTATATAAATGGTATTTAAATGTAAATAGTATTTATAATGTAGTATAATTGCAGATTTCCCAAACGTGCTGCTCTTTAAATGTATTGGACTGCAATTCCTATCATAACAACAAGGCACAAAATGGATAGTACTATGAAAGGAAGGCTGCTCTAGAACGTCAAGAAATCTTCAATCTAGGATGCCACAATGATTTTATTATTTCTTAGAATCATAGGGCTGGAAGGGACCTTGGATGTCTTCTAGTCTAACCCCTGCCATGTCAGGACGTTTATATCATCCAGGCCAAATGGTTGTTCAATCTTTTCTTGAAAACCTCCAGCAATGGTATACCTAATAATTCTGGGATAAAGTTGTTCCATTCGTTAATTGTCCTCACTGCTGTCAGGAAATTTCTCCTTAGTTCCAGGCTGGATCTCCATTTCACAAGCTTCTATCCATTGCTTCTTGTCCTGACTTCAGATGCAGCCTTCTTTGCATAGTACTATCCAGTTTGTGCCTTGTTGGGTAACGATGGGAATTCATTTAAACAGCGCAACATTTGGGAAATCTGCAATTCTACTTTACTATAAGTAATATACACTAAATACATTAATATTGAAAGACTCTTAATGCTTCAGTGAGTCAATGGTATCAACTGTTCTTACATAATAAAGTTTAGCATTATGTGGATACTTTTTTGAGAGTGACTATGTTCAGTTTGGTCTAGTGGTTAAGACATTGGCCTAGAAACCAGCAAACTGTGAGTTCTAGACCTGTCTTAGGCATGAAAGCTGAGTGGGTGACTATGGCCAGTCATTCACTCTCAGCCCAACCCACCTGAAATGTTATTGTTGTGGGGAAAAGAGGAGGAAGAACAATGATGTATGTTCGCCACCTTGAATTATTTATAAAAATAATAAAAGCGGATTAAAGAAATAAATAAGCCAATGCACACTGTATGATAGACTGGTTTTCCAAGATTCTTCAAAGAATAACACAATAATTTTGTCCATCTTCAACATTTCAGAAGTGTGATTATGTGCCATCAAGTTCTTGCTGGTTTTTAGTAACCACATACATTTTCTTCATCATTCAGAAATGCAAATAATATGTATTTATAATAATATTTGATCAGCATTTTCAGAACACAGTCATTCTGCAATCAGTCTTTGTATGAAGGCTTAACTTTCTGAGTGATAAGGCTTAACTTTTGTTCCAAAGTTAAAAAAAAAAAAAGTATTTTTGCCATATAATTAATAGACTTTTAAATAGATTCAAGAAGATCAGGAACTACAAGAGAACCACAAGAGAACATTTTTAATTTATAGGCCTCCTGCCAACATTAAGAAAAGACTTTGGAGAACCAGAAAAAAACATTGTCCTTAACCAATTATCTGTTTACATCTGTTTATGATACTCAAACCTATTTACTAAACATATTAAAAGTTAGAACTGAAAAATAGACTACAAACCTGACTGATTTTGATGAACCAAAGCCACATTGATAAAATGGTTTCCAGCTTCACATACCTGCAAAATATTTCAAATTTATTTCAATTTTATTTGTATATTTGGACACTATAATTTTGTAACCTGTTAATATATTATCTGGTGAGCCTTGAAATTTTAGGTTAGCAAAAAGCAGGAGAGTCCTATTTATATTCTCATACTGTTCAAGAACATAAATATCAGGAATATCAAGAAAAACAAATATGTTACTTACAAAATGTAAAAATTTTCCAACAGTAACAACATGAACTGTGTCTTCTAGGCTTTCTTCACCAATGATTTATGGAGTACTCACTGCTATTTTTATGAAATGTTACACTGCTAATATATAACTATTAATGGCTTGTGTGCCTGGCTCCAGAGTTACCTAGCATTTAGCATTAAATAGGTTGAGGGTTCCCAGCTTAAATGAACAAAAAGCCCAACCAAAAAGTGTTAGATTATCAATTACAATACTCATAAGGCTATATATTTCCCTCTTTTAAAAAGTGGGGTGGGGAAAAGGTAAGATGGACTAAACATGAGAAAAGAAGCTAATGTTCCAAATGGAAGACAGTGACATCTTGACCTTTGATAAAATCCTATTAAGGATGGTGGCACAGTGATTTCTCATTTGGAACCATCCCTGACTTATGCAGTTGGTTCTCATGTTGTGACTTATAAAGATAAATGCATGTAATTAGTTAAGCATTGTTTGCTGTGTACTGCATGGCCTGCAATCAGTTTTCCTGACTTAGCAAATTAAAACTTTTTAACCTTAAGAAGTTGCAGTTTATGAAGAAAATCTTTGTATGTACTATACAAAGGTTAAAAATGCTTACATGATCAACTACTATAGTTTTGATATCAACATTAGAATGGCAGCTTTTAAGTTTCAATTCAGAAACAAACTCAGATAATACAAAACATAGGGCCCTCAAAGGAACCTTTAAAAAAATCCTCCACAAGTGTCATTTCTCTAAAAACATTTATATATACTAGATATTTTACATACTCATATTTATTCTTCAGCTGCTTGCCTATACATACCAGAAATCCAACGGTAGCCAAAGAAACTTGCTTGTTTCCAAATGCTAGAACATACAATAAAATCACACATCAGGCTTAGATGATTGTAGATACTAGAGAAATATTCTAATATCCACAATCATATATAATTGATATATAATTCATAGGATTGTTTTCTGTTTGGAAACCTAATTCTTTGATATCACTGTGATTTGTCCATCAATCTGTACTCAAAAACAAATGCTTAATTCACAATATTTAACTCAATATATTTCTACATATTTAACCCAACAAAAAGAAACAAAAATACTGATTTATCTTACATACATAATTATTATTTTGCTACAGATTTCCTGCAGTTTATTGGATTAGTCCATTTCAGACATATCATTCTGGAATAAACCAATTAAGATATTGAATATCTGATGGGAAGCCCCCACCCCAAGATGGGCTCCAGACTGGATCAATTCAATGAGATCAGCTATTTTTCTCCTATACAAATGCATCTATAATTATGTTACAATATTTATGGCTTCTACATCAAAACATTATGCAGTAGCATGAGCCTCACATCCCAGTAAAAATTCCATCGCTTTTCCACATCAGGAATATCAGATGGAGAGAAAGCATGTGATGGAATTCCTCTTCTAGCAAATGTTTACAAAAATAAGTATTTTCACTATAAAAGTTATTTTTAAAAAATACCAATGCAAAAGTAAATCACTTCTGGTCATGAGAATATGTGAAAAGAATGCTATCAAGATCAGTTACTTAAACACATCCCTCTGTTCTACTTACATGGAGGAGTATACTGGGGGTGGTTGATGTAGTAAGAAAACCAAGAAGTAAATCCCCAGTAAAAAACACAGCCCTATAATGGAAAACACAGATAAATATAATACAGATGTTGATATAGATTAGGATATACACATACATACTATTTTGATACCATTTTATAATTATTATTTTTTACAAAAAAGAGCATAAATACCTTGCATGACTCTAAAATAAGTACTAGGCTGAAGTTGTTCTATAGAGAATTTCCCTGTATGATGAACCATGCTCTTTCTTTTAAGTATCACATCAGAAAGAACATCACAGGAACATAATAAACAGATCGCGATCTTCCCTTACATTTTTTTTTATCCAAAGGACTGTTGCATCTTTATGAGCAAACACTAAAAACTACAGAAGAGCTCCAATTTCTGTTCAAAAGTATATATCCCAAATTAAACTTAGTGGGAGTTTCTTATTTGGTAAGATTGCTATTAAGTGAAGAACTCTGAGATATACAATCTCTCTGAGGCAATCAAATGATGTAGCTATTATGATATCTCATATTCCTGCAAAGGAGACATTACACTTAATATACTTATTGCCTCCTGCACTAAATGCAGTCCACACCTATAGTATGTCATCCAAAACAGCAATTGAATCTTTTTATTTTTCCAGATAGAACAGTATATTCCAGCAGCACTGAAGTCATATTCAGCTAAGGGTCATGCACAATTACTCTTTAATGCTCAGCTGGGACCTTACTTCTCTTTTATTCCTCTGGAAAGGATACAGTCCAAACTCCTAAGAGCCATATTTCAGATAGCCCATTGCATCTCAAATTCAGTATGTCGATATGATATAGTTGAGGCAAACAAATTGCCCTCCCCCCCTTATTGGAGTTGCACAGCTGCAATTGTAATTGGTTGAGTCAGTTTATTAGGTGTAAGTCAGAAAAATATCAGGAAGACTGCTCTTGCAAACTTTTCCCCCCCTTCTCTGTCTTTATATTGTTTCCAAGTCTGAGATAAAGGTCACTATAATATAGTGAAGTGAAATACAATGGATCGGAAGAACAGTTGGGGAGAATAATAAACAATGCATAGGAGTAGAATTAAACTATTTTTAGGGAACATTAAGGATATAGTCTCTGGACTTTTCCTGGATAGGTATTTTAGCCATCCAGTTCATTTGGCCTATATTCTTGTATCTTACATCATTAGGCTCTTATCACTTCATCACCCACTCTCCTCAAATAGGATAAAAGTGCTCATATTGAGGTGATGATAAGGAAAAAGAATATTTTATATTTATCAAAACTAATTGTCTTCAACACCTTCTTTGGGGAAGTAGAAATTATATATATCCTGCCGGGAATTATTTGATAGCAAAATGCTTTTAGAAAGTTTTTTTTACAATTAATAATAATGATATTTAGCAAATGGGAAGAACTATGATTTTTCATTAGTTACAACATATAGCTATTACTGAGCACCATAGGTTACTCACAGAAAAAAAAATTGCTCTTAGCATTTGCCCAGTGGTTCTCCCTCCTCAGCCTTCTAACTTTCCCAAAGTGTTAAAGGACATTCTAAAACTGAAATACAAATATTATATATCTGTTAGATCGCGCAGGCAGTAAGACACGAGTCGAGTGACAGTCAGCTCTTGGTTTATTGGCAAGGCGTAAAGTAAATCCGGACTGGCTCTCTGGGCCAGGGGAGCCCTCTTTTATGGGATTCCCCTGGCTTGTAATCACACAATTCCATTGGCTGGCAAGACCCTGTTGCTAGTTAGCCAACCAGCAACGGGCATGAAAC